CCCGGAGAGGCCAGGCGGGGGGATGGGGTCGGTCGGTCGGAGGTCGATCCTAGGGGTCAAGGTTCGAGGAGGAGGAGAGGTCCAAGGTGACAGCGGAGGCGGAAGTCGTTATTGATATACGGCGACAAGGAGGTGCCAGGGATGCTGACCACAAGCAATGCCAGCGGGTGCAGGGTGAGGTGTCGTGGTGGTGGAGGTGGAGTTGGAGGTTTGGGCGCGTGGGCGGTGGGAGATTTGTCGAGTCGCGGTGCGCTCGTGATTGAGCACCTGTCTGGACACGCACAGCAGGGGGTCCCCGCCTGGGACAGGCAGGCAGACCAGTTTGTGGCAAAAGCGCCCGGCTGGAGGGGGGGGGACGCCTGCAGAAGGAAGCGGCAACCGTGGGCTGTGGTGGCGCCAAGGATGGAGATCCAGGGAAAGCATGGGCCCATTTACGGGGTTCGCTAGCCGGATGAGGGCAAGGCCGGGTGTGCTAGTGAGACCCTGGACGCACCTGCTAAAGAGCCCCTAGAGCTTCTGGGCCCCTCCATCCATTCTTGCCCGCCGCCCGGTGACAGGACGCGCCTGCACTGCGCTGGCAGTTTGGTGGCTGCGCCGCCCGCCAAACGTCCGGCCGCTGAAGCTCACCGAACGGTCAAAAGGCAAAAGGTCCATCCGGGTGGCTGCTCGACTTTTCTTCCCCCCTTCCCTTCATGTCGCATGTTGACGATCTCATGAATCCCCCGCCGAAATGCCTCATGCCTCACGCCTCGTGCCCCTCATCGAGCGACATGCGACAGATAGATCAACGACCCCGCGACTCGTGCTGCATATCCCGCGCCTGCCAGGCGGTGAAGTGCAGCGTCGCGCCGCGTTTGGATGACATCACCGTGCGCAGCGGACCTTAGCACATGCCACGGTTGGTGGTCTTGGCTTGTTAGCTCTGAGGGAACGAGCCGCCGCTGCCTCGACTCTTTGGCATTTCACGGCGGTGACATTTCTGATCACGGGGTTCGGCTGGCGTTCTTGTCGCTGCCTCATCTGACAGACGGCGGGCGGATCGCAGGATTTCCGTCCCATCTCGACCCAGGGCCCCGTATTTCAAACGTGCTCGCCACGAACCCTCGCATTTTCAATCCTGGCACACAACTTGCGGGGGTGGGTTCTGTTCCTCGCCAATGCCCAATGTCCGGTCAGCGGTCAGGGGACGGTCGGCGGGGGTCTTGCGCGATTGCTCACCTGCTCAGATGCATGCATTCCCCGCCGTCTCATCCCAGACACTGATTGACCCTTTTTCCATCCCCCTCACGAGTTGAGACGCGCAAGCACTTCCCCCCTCCCTCACCCCCTCGGCCAGCGCGGCGAGAGGCAGCCTTCGTGAACTGGCGGTGGCTGCATCGCATCCGAGCACCGCATGGCATGGCATGCCCAACCACTGCCCGCATGATGCCTGCAGTCTTGGCCCTTGTTTGGCCAGGGATGCCAGCCTCGGCCGTCGCTTTTGTTCCGAGGGGGAAGCAAGGGAGTCATGAGGCTCATTTGTCCTCCCCCGGCTTTTGTTGTGGTGTGGTGAGACGACAGGGTCTGGGCTGGCCGAACCCGACGCGAAGCGGACTGGAGCGCCCGCTCAGAGATCCCCGGCTCCGATTCATCTCCCTGGCGGTGGTGGCCTCCAAACCTCCAACGCCTGCTACCCGATGGGTGTCAATCAGCACTGCCCGGCTTGCCCGGTGCCCTGATGATCACCTGCCTCCCCCGCCACTCACCATCTCCAGCTGATCTGCCACCACACCCTCGACCACCTCGACCACACCATCTGGCTCGTGGATGATTCAGCCATCAAAGACACACCCATTTCTATCTTGTACGCCTGAGACACCCACTTGGTGATACCCTCTCACGACCCTTGGCTCTCGTCCGAGCCCTCCGCCAATCCACTTCGCACGACCCCCCAAAACTCCTCCACAAACTCCCCCTGACCCCCGGCCGCCGGTCTCACGGCGAGGTATCGTCGGTTGTCGATCGGCGGGTCCCAATCCCCCGGGTGCCCGTCCACCATAATCCCCCCAGCCTCAGCCAGCACGCACCACGCTGCTGCAACGTCCCACGCCCAACACCCGCACTCCCAAAACGCCTCCTGCTGCCCCGCCGCGACCCGACAGATGGTGACGGCCGCGGAACCCGTGCACCGAAGCGAGTTGACGAAGCGTCCGCCTGTTTCCTTCGTCCTCGCCAGCGTTGTGAAAACGTGCAGATTGAGGTCGAACCCCGGTCCGGCCCTTTTGCTCCCCCACTCGATCCCGACGCAGGCAGTCGTGAGCCCGTCCAAAGGCGCCGGGGCCACGCCGAGTCTTCGTCTCGGCTCCCCGTGTCGAGACGCGAATGCACCGCCGCCCTTCACTGCGTTCCAGAGCTCGTCGGTGAAGGGATTGTACACCACGCCCACGGCGGGTCGGCGATCAACGACGAGGCCGATAGACACGCACACAGCTGGGAAGCCGTGGACGAAGTTCGATGTGCCGTCAATCGGGTCGACCACGAATGTCGGTCGGTCTGTGATGGGAGAGCCGGCCTTGTAGGATTCCTCGCCCACAAAGTCGAACGAGGGATATTGGTGCATTAAGCGCTCGCGGATGTGCTTCTCGACGGCCACATCTGTTTCCGTGACAATGTCGGCGGCTGACGAGTTAGTTAGGCGTCGGCAGGGTCGTGGTGTTTCGGTGAACGCGGTTGGCTTACTGTTCTTTTTCGACGCCGTGGTCTGTGCTGTCGGCCGGGCATTTCGGATGATGCCGCCCGCTTCCCTGGCCACCTCGACCACCAGGGTGCAGATTTCGTCCAAGTTTGCCGCCATGTCGATTGCCCAAGACCAGTGCTGGTTGAGAATAACAATCCTACCCTCAGCCAAGTACCATATTTCATCGGCCTTCGTGGCTTTAAGACTTCTTGTCACCCACAGCTGCATCTCACTGCGGGTGTTCGGCCGGCCCCACAGATTCCGAAGCAACCACCGACCCGGCGGGCTTTTCCCAGCTCAGACCCCCGACGCCGTCGGCAGCAGATAAGCACCGTCGCTCCCAGATAACGAAACCAGCATCGTCCTTGGCACCATCCCTGTAGAACGACCACCCTCGCTTCTCTCGATGCCCTCTTCACCCTTTGCCCTCGCTTCGAAGCCGACCAGAATTGTTTCCCTCCTCCACAGCGATCTCATCGCCAGCCATGTGGGCTTCCACCGCCCGACCCTGAAATGCACAAGCACGGCTACCGAGGCCGAGTCCGCACCGGCTGCCTCACCTGTCGCGCCCGCAAGGTCAGATGCGACGAGGGTCGGCCGGCATGCCGCAACTGCACCAGACTTGACAGGGGTTGCGTCTACGCAGCAACACCGCGGCGTCCTGTCGTCGTCCCCGCATCCTCCTCCTCGAGCCGATCGCCAGATACCACCACCTCGTCAACCGAAGACACTTCAACACAACCCCAGGGGCCAAGTCCAGGCGTCAATTCTTTCGCTAGGACGTCGTCTCGGCGAAGCGTCGCCCTCACAGCGGCACCGCACCATGTCGCCTCCACTCCCGATGGCCCATTCTCATACCCCGACAGCGCCATCAAGGACGTCACGGCGCGCCTGCAGAGGACCCTTGAGCGCCGGCGCGGGGCACCACACACCCCAGACGATGCAGCCGAGGATGAGAACTCACCGGCGAGCCTCATCTCCCGGGACATCGAGCTGACCACGACCATGGACATCCTGGCAGCCGCACGCGAATCGTCCCAATTGACCTGCTTCTTCCTCGAATCGGTCGACTGCCCGGGAATCACGCCGTTCGACGCCGTCAACTGGGCCACGGCAAAGCACTGCATTGTGGACCTGGGGAGTTCGTGCACGACAGTCGTCTCGGGGATCAATGCCGTCGCCACGCTTTTCATGGCCCACACCTATGGCCTGCCCGACACCAGGGCCATGTCGCTCTACCATTCCACCCGGTCGGCACTCGAGCAGCTATTGGCAGACCAGACTCTGGACTTTGAGTACTGCCTTGTGGTCATGTTCCTCCTCTGCCTCTTTGACCTCGTCTACTCGGACGAAGTCATGTCGGCTTTCAATAAGCCTAGCGACTTATTCCTCGACCGTCTCGGCGCATGGATCAGGGGCGGCCATCGATCCGAACTTTCTAAACGTCTGCTTGCCTGGATCAACATCATGCAGACGATGACCAGCCGCGGCGGCGGCCTCGGCTTCCTCTCCGAGTCCATCTGCTCCCTGCTCCCCAACCAGGACGGGCCACTGCCGACCCTCGTGCCACCCATGGGTCCCACCCCCGACGCCGCCTCCGACCTCCCGACGCACCTGTACGAAATGCTCTGCGGCCCGGCCTTTGACTTTTACTGCCGCCTCCAAGCCATCTCGGGCGAAATCGCCCGTCTGACGCATTACCACCGCTCGCGCAACACGGGCGGCGACCAGGCCGAGGTGGTCCGGTCAATGGCCGGCATCAAGGACCGCCTGCGCGCCCTCTGGGACAACCGCCCCGCTACGATGCGGCAAAGCCCAGGCGCGCTCCGCGAGCAGCTCACCCCGGACCTGGCGGTCGCCGTCATCGCCGTCATCGGCCTGTGCACCGCCGCCTACCACGCCGAGTTCGTCGAAATTGACCGCGTCCTGGGCGATCCGCTGGAGAAATGGACAGATTCGCGGGAATCAATTCGCGCCATTCGGGAGATTGTCGACAGCCAATCGGCCGTCTGCAAAATGACAGGCGTGAACCCCGGGTTCCTGCGCCCTCTCTTCCTCTTCGCGATTGAATGCATGGACAGGGACCAAAGCCAATGGGCAGCCGACCGCATCGCGCACATCAGGGACTCGATCTACCGAGGAAAGTTCTTCTCTGCTTTTGCGATTGGATTATCTGATGCGCAGATCCGGAAGGAGAGGAGGGTCACGTCAAAGTATTTTTCCATCTGGTCCTTTGGCGGGCCGCCTCCATATTTGTGAAGGGCGCGCCCGCTTTCATCGAATCGGGTCATTGGTCTAGGGGTATGATATTCGCTTCGCATTGCTCTTTCAGAGTTGATGATTGTGAAAGGTCATGGGTTCAATTCCCATATGATCCATTTGTTTTGCTCCGACGGCGTCCGTGGTGCTTTTTGTCACTTGAACATCTCGTCAATTGGGAATGGAACAGAAGAGTCGAGGTCCCATAAATGTGTTGATGGTAATCTTTGAGGCTCCCAATCTGTCAAGCCACTTGAAGCATCCTACCCCAACTCCCGAACCCCAACTTCACGACTCCAAGCCCTTCCCCGTCAAGCATTCTGACATCCACACTTGCCCCAGCGTGCCCACGAATGACGGATCCGCCCACCCTTGCGCTACGCATCCTTGCCGCCGATCGCCTCGACCAGGTTCACCTCCGCACGAGCGAAACCCCGCATCGACGTCTTCCTCTCAAACAAAATGTCCATCTCCGCCGTAGTGCGATCCTTCGTCTCCGGCACGCAAAAGTACGCAAACACCACCGAGATCAAACAACCGCCTGCCCAGAAGAACCCCGTCTTCGCACCCCAGTTCCATGCCGTCGGATTCAGCTGGTACGGGGTAATTGTACCAGCGACGATGGTGGTGACGATGTACGTCCAGCGGGCGAGCACGACCGACTTGCTGCGGAGGAGCGTCGAGGGGATCTCACAGCACAGCGTGTTGGTCAACGGGCCCATGGCGGCGTTGTACAGGAAGGAAGAGACGATGAGGGTGATGCCAATGACCCAGGAGTAGGTTGTGTTGGTTGAGACGGCTTGAGGGACGCCGACGCCGCCGATGATGATCATGAGGACGAGCATGAGAGCAAGACTGCCGACGTAGGTCGTGCGCCGGCTCAGAATGGGAAGCAGAACCCACTGCAACAATCAGCAGGCGAAATGGAAACGAGAAGATGGAGAGACTGACCGAGACAAGTCCGCCGATGAAGGCAAGGGCATAGTTCATGATGGTCAGGTTGAATGCCTGCGCGCTTGGGAAGCCTGCCTGACGCATAAAGTAGGACGAAGAACTGCGGAGAGGATTACCGCTCAACGTCTGTGCGCAGTAAATGCCAATGACGATGAGGGTCCTGCGGAGGTCAACGCCCCGGAAGCAAGCGAGGTATGTGGTGCTGGCGTTGAGGGTGCGTTCATGCTCAGTCGTCACCACCATGAGGCTGACACTCTTGTCCAAGTCCTCGTCGGCATTGTCCTTGGAAGCAAGCTCCTTCAGGATACGCTTCGCACCTTCGATGTTACCCTGGCGAACCATCCACCAGGGGCTTTCAGGGGCGAAGAAGAGCGTGGGAATGAGGACGACCGGCCAGAACCACCTTCTTGGTCAGTGCGAGACGGAAAAGGGGGGTGGGAAACACACTGTATGGCGAAGACAACTCGGTAACCCCATTGGCCTTCGAGCTGCAGCGAACCTCGAAGGATGCCAGCGCCGATGAGATGTCCAATGGCCCAGCAGAAGTTGACGTAGTTTGTGAGGTACGGTCGCAAGCAGACCGGGGATATCTCCGAGGCGTAAATGATTGGAGTCGTCTGGAACAAGCCGAGGGGAATGCCTGAAAGGTCAGCGAGGAACACAAACCTCAGGAAGCAAATCTTACCAAACAAGACCTGGCCAACGATGAGGACCTCGATGCGAGGAGCAAAGAATGGGATGAAGATCAGCGCAACAATAGCACTGAGGCCTCCCATCATCGTCTTGCGGAACCCAAAGCGTTCGCAAACATACCCCGCCAGCAGAAGCCCAATGAGCTGACCACAAGCCGAGCCATTGTTCAGACCAGCCTGCCACCTCGACGGGATCTCGTGGCTGTTCGGGCCAGTCTGCACGCCGTATCGGCGCTGGAAAGCAGGCTGCGCGTACAGGTTCCCCATGAGCATCGTATCGTACCCTTCCATGATGATGGTCGAGGACATGGCGAGGGACCACAGCGCGGCTTTGGGGTAGAGGCGCAAGGCGTCGCAGAGCCTCATGCCATGTTCCCTAGCAGTGGCATCTTGGGCGTCGGCGAGCCATTCGGCCTGTGTGACCTTGGGCTCTTCGACCTTGGTGTCGGTGTCTTTGGTGGTCGTCATGCTGGGCAGGAGGAAGTAACTGAAGGAGATCTGGTGCTGATGGAGGGGAGTGATTGCCAGGCTGCAGCCATGAAGTCTTTATAGAGAGATCCTGCCCATGGTTCACTTCGACTTTTGCTGTGGCACGATGGTGGTTGAGATGTCGGCCCGGCCAAAACAAACGTGACGACGACTGTAGGTCTGGGGAAAATTGCGTCCCCAGGTGATGCTAACCCACCATGTTCTAGCTCGTCTTCCCCGTACGAAATGAACCAGTAGCGTGGTTCCCCATGACCTCGTGGCACGCCAGACTTTGGGTCAAGTCCAGGATCCCCCCTGAGTCGTGACACTAAGGGAGGGGTTCCTTATCTGGAGCCGATAGCCGCTATCTCCAACCGAACCTCTGAGTCGTGCACACGCAAGCGACCGAGCGAGCCGACGCCGGCGATCGTCAACCACCGACAGCACGACTTCATTCCCTTCCCCTCGGCCACGTGCGTCTATAAAGCATCAAAAACCGTACTGCACCGACATACCCAAATTGCAACCATCATCATTCCCACTCCCACCGCGCAACATGACCATCCACTCAGACCCCCGATCGGAACCCTCCATCCCTGATGGTCGGCCTCAGTACCCGATCGGCGTGCCTTTCAAGTTCAACCCCGACGGTGTCGTCCAGCGCTACGCCGGCAACACCACCGTCTGCCACATTCCCCCCTCCTCACCCCTTCTCCCGGGCCTCCAGAACGCCTACGACACCATCTCCGCCCACCCCAAGTTCGCCAAGGTCATTCGCCTCCTGCCCCCCTCCTCCTGGCACATGACCGTCTTCGACGGCGTGCGGGAGCAGGAATGCGAGCCGGGCATGTGGCCCCCCGGCCTTGCCAAGAAGCCCCTCGCCGAAGCGACCGCCGCCTTTGCGGAACGTCTGCGTGTATTCGGGCCGCAGCTCGAGGCTGAGGGCCTGGCGCCACCGTACAGGATGAAGTCGACTGGGATTGAATTTCCGGCCCCTGTCGGCATTGGCTTGCAGGTCGTGGGGGCGACACCGGAGGAAGAAAAGAGGATGCGCAGGCTGAGGGATCGGTTGTCGGATGTGCTTGGGTTCAAGGCGCCGAATCATGAGGTGTACGGTTTTCATGTCACGATTGCGTATTTCCTGCGACACTTTGATGGCGACGACGGCGTTGAGTTGGGAGAGTTGCTGTGTGAGCTGGAGAAGCCGCTGGATGTGGAGTTTGAACTGGGTGCGGTCGAGTTTTGCACTTTCGACACCATGCTGGCTTTTCCGCGACTTTTCTACCTGGGGCAAGAGTAGTTAGGGCGAAATGGGCGATGCACTGAATTGACATGCGACGTCCGGGGGTTGTCAACACACAATGCCTGTTGTGGTTCAATTAAGCTTTGACAAGATGGTTCGATTAGGTAAGCCTGTTGCGTGGGGGTCTATCTGTGTGCAAGTGTGGCATGTGCTCTGTCCTCTGTCAACCTCCAACGACCATCCATCTCCAGTGGAGGCAGGGGAGCACCCCTTCAACCCCAGCTCTTGTTTTCTCCCGAACACCATGAAATAAAGTCCCCTCTAATTCTGACTCTTGGTATCCTTCCTGACAAAGGGACGCTTGATCAAAGCAGCAACTTTTCCGAGAGCGCCAAACAGGCGCCCGAAACCGAAACTCCAGCCACGGACCCGAACCGTGTAAATGAAAAAGTACACCAGCATCCAGTTTGAGATGCAGAACGCAAGGAAAATGCCAAAGTCTGTGACGTTGTTAGCCATGTCCAATCGCTGCGTCGATCGGGAACACTCACTTCGCCACTTGTCGTCGGCGCTGATGTTCAGCGTCTCGAGGTACTGGCTGCCGCTGGTGAACGGGCAGTACTGGCACCCACTGGTCGCGTCAGGGTTCAGGAGATACCCGCCGGCCGAGCTGGCGAAAGCGCCAGCGTACTCCTGGCAGGTCTGGCCACCCGGTGCATCGAACAATGCCGTCTCCTCGGGAGCGCACTCGACGGGAGTGTCGGCGAGGGTGGCAGCAAGGATGCCTCCGATCCAGTAGGTCGATGGGTTGACCCAGTACATCCAGTACCGCCAGAAGACGGGAAGGGTGCTGTACTGCCTGACGACACCGTTGAAGAGGGCGAACATGACGAAGAAGAAGGGAAGGACCTGAGATGTTAGCGGAGATCGACAATCAGTCGTGGGGAGTACTCACATTGGAAATGACAGTGAAGCTTGGGGCAAATGCGCAAATCCACTGGCCCCAACTGTTCATGAACAAGAACATGAGCAGAGTCATGAGGAAGACGTAACCAGAGGCAGAGCTCTCAGTCGGCAGACCCGTCGGCCAGTACCACAGCACCCAGTACAGCACGGCCGAGACCACAGCAGCGGGAATCTCAGCCAGCACGTTGGCAGTGCAGAACGCGAACCAGCCATAGATGCGGGACGGGTACTCGCGCGCCTGCCAGATGGACATGTTGTCGTAAAACTTTGGCACAACACCATTGACAATCGTCGGCGGGACGGTGATGATGAGGAAGCAGGTGAACATCCTGTTCTGCATGTCCTGGATGGTGTTGCCGAGCATCCAGAAGGTGAAGCCGTTGAAGATGCCGATGATGACGGAGGTGAAGAACTTGCCGTACAGGTAGGATGGGTCGCGCCAGTATTGGCGGAACATGCGCTTCGTGAGCTCAAGGGATTGGAGCATGGCGGAGGCGGCGAACTCAGAGCGTGCGGCGGCGTTGGGGGAGGGAACGGTGGCTTCGCTGCGGGTGCGGCGGAGGGCGTTGATCTCGTCATCGACGGCTTGGGCTTCAGCGCTGGATGCCCATTCATCGTTCCAGTTGACCTTTGAGCCGTCTGGCTTGCGGTGCGGGCGCGCAGCGGTTTCGAGGATGAACTCGGCGACGTTCTTGCTGGGAGGGCAGTGGGCGCCGCGGTCGGCGAAGTACTTGATGACGTCTTTGCCGTTCTCGCCGACGGGGCCGAAGTAGAAGGTATTGCCGCCGGGGTTGAG